CGTTATTAGTAATGGTTGAGGGTGCATGTTTTTTGGGTTCCTGACGTTTAGAATAGTTAAAGGCTGGTAAAGTTTCAATGTTTAAATTGGTAATTTCTGTTTGTGATTTATTTTGGTTAATTGTCGGAAGTAAGAATAAAGGCTTGATGGGACTTGGTTTGTGTAAATTTAACTGTAAAAGTTGCGGTTGAGTTTGTGCTTTGAAAAAGTTCCCGTATACTTTGCGTTTTCAAGCAATATATTCTCGCTTCGCAGCTAGTATATTTTTTTTAAATTTGGATTTTAATAACATTTTTTCCATTTATAAATTTAGGACATTTTTATATTAAGCTTATTGCTTTACCAGATAATTTGCACAAACACATGCAGACTGTTTGCAAAATTTTACAGAATGACCAAATTTTGGCTTTTGCTGCATCTGAGTCTATTTTTATGGTTCCGGGTTAACAAATCGAAGTTGACGAAAAAATTTCCTGTATGAATTAGATAGTTGTTTCTTCACCACCTCGTCAACATGGGAGAGAACTCCATCGCGTGTTCTTTTCTAAGTTTTTCTTTGATTTCTTCTACGGAGGTGGTGTCTAGAAGGTCTGGAACTCTAACTATACCTTTAGTGTAATTTAACTTGGGTTGGGGAGTAACGGTGATCATAATTTTCCCGAAAATTTTACAGTTGAGTAACACGTTAATTTATAATTCATTGCTGGTTCGATTAAAATTGAGCCATTACATATTTTACATCTTTCACTGATCTTAGAGCTAGTAAGACAGCCATCTATTAGGAAGGGTTGGCTTTTGCTGCATGCCAACCAACCTTGTTTTTGCCAACCTTTTTCATGCACTAGTTTTTGTCGTAGTGGGTAACCAATAAAATTCTAGGTGAGTTCGGTTTACTTTGAAATGTAAGTAAGTCTACTGGTGATGGTTTTTTTTTACGATTTGTGATGAGGGATTCGTTTCATATTACTTTTCAGTCAGTAGGAAGTTAATTTTTATAAAGATAAATAATGAATCAGCGCGAAGGAGTTCGTACGTGTAAACTGTCCCCTAAGGGGCTCTGCCGTGATCTGCCTTGTGCAAAGGTCGGCTCCCTCGTTTCGAGTTTACCTGGTCTTGTAACAGTTTTTGAGAATTCCTAAATTGGTGTTGCTCGGTCTTGTTGCCTTTTGATGGATGAAGACTGTGTTTTTCCCAAACGCTACCGTAAATGAGCGGTGAAGTAAAGAAAAATAGTGATTTTACTAACAATACATTCGCGACAGAAACAGCACAATGTAGGTACTGCGTCACTCGAGTCTCGGTCAAAACTGAACGTATGAATTTTCATTTTCCTCAAGACCGTAACAATAGCAACATTATTTGTTAAATAAAAAAGCGGTCGATACATCTTCCAGATTGAGCCCCGCTAAATTTCTACGACGGGTGACTACGTATGAGTGTGGACGTCCACTGCGACCTTGACAACGTGGTGCATTTGTTCGGTCACAACCCTCTGTATACGTTAGAGATATTCACGGCATACCAAGTTTCCAAAATAAAATGACATCTGATTATCAGTTTAGCAAGGCTTAAATATGCTTTATATTTTGCAAACCTCACCACTGTCTACAATAAATATAACAAACTGTTTTAAAAATTTCACAACTGTGGGAAAAAATCGTTACAAACAGAATAAACAGAATCAAAGTATAAATGTGTTTTTTATTGACATAAAGCAAGTAATTTGCGCGTAATAAGGTGACAAATTATTTTTGTAATTTTACTTTCCATGTGACAAATTACATTCTTCATATAACTTTGATGCACAAAGTAAGTTGTAATTTAAAAAAAAAATCTATATAATCTAGCACTATTTTTCAACTAGTAAATCCTGATTAAACTTTTAATCTGGTTACTTACATTTTTGTAGAATAGGTTGAATGCAAATTTTGACTGTTGATATTATTAATGTTATTAATTTTAAATACGAAACTGAAACTGAAAATTTAATTTCTGTTTCGTATTATTCAACTATCATCCATAGTAGACAGATCGAAAGACTGAAAGGTTCACCACCTTTCAGACCTCACCAAATCTCACAATTTAACACAATTAAACTTTTATGCTACAAATAGATCAACCAACTACAGCCATAAACAAATTAATTAATTATTTCGGTAGCAAATTTTATTGCAGTTTAATCAATTCTATCAAACAATTTTAGTAAATTGGCTTTAACGACAGTTTCTATCTCAGTGATGACAGGAAATGACTTGAAAACTTAAACTTAATATTATAGTCTTCCTTATTCCTTCCTAAGGAACTTTTTCTTTTTTACAACCATGCCGGGTAAAACTAGACCTAAGCGTGTTGCCGGATGCGTTCATAAAATTTCATGGAAACTTTAATTTCTCTCCAGGTTATTCTTGCATAATGAAATCCCCCGTAGCATCTTCATCCCGCCGAGTGAAAATGGTTCGGAAAGTTTTGTTTCTTCGGCAGGTTTAAATATCGAGCACCCGCCACTCGACTGCCGCTCTGGAAATTAATATCAAATCGTTTGTAGCAGTTGTTGGATATTCAATTACCTAATTTTTTGTAACTGTAATTAATTTTATGCAATATTTATAGAAATTGAACTATAATTATTCACTATCCATTGCCTGCACCTTTGGTATTTATTGAAAAAGTGTGATTAACCAACAAAGGCAAACTTATTCTTTTCGAATTTCGGTCCACTCCATCTACTTAAAAACATGTTTTTAAAAGGAGCTAAATAACCTAAACAGTTAATTGGCAAAGTGATAAGATCTAAGAACTCCTTTTTGATCTAAATGGTGAGGAACCTGGTTAGATCTCTTCGAATTATGTTAATAGGCCCATCCTTGCTGTTTTGGTCTGTGAAACGAATTTCTACTTCTCACCATATTTTCAAAAACAAGATGGTTAATATTTAAGTACTAAAAACATCAACAGGTAACTGGCCAGATGATAAGTTTTAACAGGAAATAACTTGAAAGCTTACAACATAATGGTATTTCTTTATTACTTAGAAACTGTTTTAGGTTTTCCTCTTGGGCCTGCATGAAGGGTAAGGAATCTAATTTCATCATTTCCAATCATTTTTGGTTTGCCTATACTTGCTGTTTGGATCAGTCAGACATCTCACCAAATTCCTAAAAACCATGTGGTTAATATCTTATTTCTGAAATACGTCAACATATAACCAGCGAGATGATAACTTTTAAGATTTCATTTTGTGTTTGAAGGGTTAGTAACCTAATTTGAACTTATCCTAACATTATCGACTATCTTTGATGTTTAGGTCTGTCCATATAAGTAAAGAAAGGTGATTAATGTTAAAAACCCTCAACGGACATCTGTCGTGGCATTAATTGGCACAGTAGTTCTGGAAGATGTGCTGATAGTTTTCGTAACCAGAACTGAGAGATGTTGCTGATATTCCGAACAGACTTTTTAGCTCTTACCTAGTTTACACTGGTCCGTAGAACCAGAATTTAAAGTAAATGTTTTGGAACGTTGGCTCCGAACCGTAAAAACTGGTAGGTTGGACATAAGGTGTGGTATACTAGGATTGAACCATCTATGAAAAGAAAAATTTGTAAGGTGATCAAACAGACCACACTGTAAAATTATTTAAAATCTGATTAAAAAAAGCAGTGAGATAAAACAAAAATGTGGCTACCACCTCGGAATGTATAATTAATCAACTTAAAATATAAAACTTTATGTTTTATAAAAGTTTTATTGTCAACTCATTATGGCAGATTATAAATTAGCAAGTGGACACCCGGTATATTTTCTATTGGTTTTGTGGGTCCATCTCTCTCTCTATCTCTCTCTCTCTCTCTCTCTCTCTCTCTCTCTCTCTCTCCATCTCTTCTCTTCTCCTCTCTCTCTTTCTCTCTCTCTCTCTTTCTCTTTCTCTTTCTCTTTCTCTCTCTCTCTCTCTCTCTCTCTCTCTCTCTCTCTCCCCCTCTCCATCTCTTCTCTTCTCTCTCTTTCTCTATCTATCTATCTATCTCTCTCTCTCTCTATCAATCTATATATATGTACAATATGTACAGGGTGACGAGATAAGTGTCGAAAATGTCAGGAGGTGTTTCTACTCAGTACTCACCACACGCACTAAAAAACTGAAAAGATTTTACACGAAACTCAAGAACCAGACGCATTTCTTGGAAAATTGAACGTGCCCGCCCCGATCATCGACACCAACATTTTTGGGCCTCCCAGAAGCGCAATCGAAAAAGTTGAGTATACCGCTGAAAGATAATTGGATCGAGAACTTTTTAGGGAATTTGCACAGCTCAAAGAGTTTGTAGTTATTAAGTCACCAATCCTACATTTAAAAAAAATTCAAATTTCAACATTTTTTTTTCGTGTAGAATTTTTTCATTAATTCTGCAATGTAAATAGTTTTTCTTACAGCAAATTTAACATTCTTTCAGGTGGCACCGACCAGATTTTTCTACAGTCGGTAAATCTGAAGTTTATAAGGATTTTAGTGGACCGAAATAGAAAAATCAAAAAACACAAAACCTGAAAATACTTCTTTACCGTTGAGATTTGGTCAGGGGTTTATGGGAGGTTTTTTTTGGATATGGTGAATAGAAACACCTCCTGGAATTTTCGACATTTATAGCCAGTCAGCTGTTGCTTGTTTGTTTTTCTTTCTTTACTTCGATGACTCACCTCTCTTTCTCTCTATTTCGCTTTCATTATCTCTCTCTCTCTCTCTTTCGATATTCATTTATCTGTCTTCACCTTACTGCCCTCCTTTCTTTATCTTGTTCAGTAATCCCTGTCAGTTTGTATGACTCTTTCATTCTAAATTTACAATTTTGCGATAGCGACCTGTACTTGTATTAAGTTGGTTATCCACCCGCAGTCCGATTTTTCCATTCCAATATCGGTACTTTCTGCCTGTCAAACTAGGCAACTTAGTAGGATAGATAAGTGTATTCTTTAAAATCCGAATAGTTTTAAAACTTGCTATCAACCCTTTGTTTACCTTCTAGTGGTTTTTCGTTTTACTATCCTTGCGCAGGGGCCATGCTAATCTTCTCTGTATCGTTCCAATTTTAGTATATGTACCGCCGAAGCGAGTACTTCGTTTTACTATATATATGTATATAATTATGGGATTGCTTAAGATTTCTACTTAGGCAATGTTTTAATCTCCTTTATGGAAGAATCTGTAATGCGTGTTAATCACAAACGCAGATTTCAAACTAAGTTAATGACAAAAATAAATTTAGGCATGCTTCATTCGTTTTTTGGAATGCGATGTAGAAGGTGCGCGGTCTGAAAAGGGGTGAGTTCTGTGCGGGGGGATCGGCGGCTAGGGTGGCGGGCACGCTTCACCCACGAAGTCAGTCGACATCGAGCTTTGGTCGTGGGAACTACGCCCCCTCAAATCCAAGCCTTACGTACGTCTTAGTGTTTTGAACGTCCCATCCGAAAAAAATCAAATCCCATCAAATATTTTCTACTCTAATAATCCTTGGGGCGTTTTAACGGGTTCCCGAACGTTGACACGACCAAAATAAAATTACTTTTATATTTTGGAGTTGTTTTTGTTTTTCAATGATTTTATGTTCTCTTTAAGTTCCAAACTATTTAAATGTACGTATTAGTTTTGTTTTTTTCGTTTTGGTAAAAGGGAATATTTAAAAAAGACAAAACTGAAAAAAAGGCAATGATCACTGCGGCAATCCTTTATTGCTTTGTCATCTCGTCCCTCGTCACCGGTGAGTTATTTCTAAAAATTAGTACGCACTATGAAGGTAATTTTTTTTGTCACAATCGCTTCTATGGAAACTGAAATTATATGGAAAACTGAATGGGGGATCGCAGTTTTCCTTGCGTTTTGGCTTTAGACAAATTCAACAATCTTTTAGGGAAAAACGAGTAATATTTTCTTTCACCCTTCAAAATAACTTGTAACCCCGAATACGGATGTCCCCATGTTTTAATCCTCACTGTCAGTATTTAGTGGCGAAATATAAAATTTTGTTCAGCATTTTTGCCGCTAATTTTCAAAAAATCTCGGCCTTGAATACTGATACTAACGCATATCAAGGTTTAGATTATATATTTTTGATTGTTTAAATTTATTTTTTACCTGGATAATCTCAAGACATTTTCGAGGCATTGAAATCTTCCGTACGAAGAACTGTGCTTAATATCTACTTTTCAACGACAATCACAACCAATTTAAAAAAAAATTCTTTTTTTACAAACACGCAAAATTCATAAAATATTTGTTATAATATTCAATTTAAAGTTAGCAATATTTTTTTTAAGGCAATGCACCTATCGTAGTTCAGTTTGGACGAGTGTTTTGTTAAATTTTAAAAAATAGTTGTTGCTTAAAATTGTTCAAAGGTGTTTGTTCTTAACACAACCTTGCTAAATTGCAAATCAGATCACCTGGAAAATAATACACTCAAAATTTTCAAATTAAAAAAAAAACAAGCAGTAAAACATCACGAACTTTGATATATTAAAACTCATGCATTTATTATATTATTTCCGACATGTCACGCGTTTGGATTTAATCATGTCCGTGTTAATTCTGTAGAAAACACATTTTGTACATTTTTTTAAATATTACTCATTAGAACAATCATTTCTTAAACACCTAAAAGACAGATTAAACAATTTTCTCAGCGTAGTTTATTATTTGCCGGTGTACGAACAATCTTGTGTTGTTCAACTACTTATAACTCATATACACATAAATTAATGACATTAACATAACCACCAGCGAAAGGTTAAGCATTGGTGCAATGCAAATTATGGATAGAAGAAAGGAAAAGCCGAGTTTAACAAAAAAAAAATAGCGTACATCGTCTAACGAAATCTTGTCATTCGCTGTCCACGCGTCTTTCCATTCCCAGTTATTCCGCCATAAAATCAAAAATTTCTTATTTATAACATGTAAACATAAAACAAAACTATTATGCTTAAAATTTACGATGTGTTTTTTTACAAATATTTATTATATTTAACATAGAAACTAAAAAATTTCGTAAGTTGTACTTTTTATAGTTGATTTTAATAAAATCACCACGGATATACTCTGAAACTCAGTGATTTGGAGGCCTTACGTCAAAACAGCGACTTTTTCCAATATTAAGTCCAAAATAACAAAAAGGAAAGATCTCGATATATAAATCAATTTAGGTGAGAAGTGAACGGTTTTTGGAACGAATTTCTTTTTTTCCAAATTTCGGTTTAAACTCCACTAATTCTCTACGAATTTTAATTTTAAGGCGCCTTTCTTTTTCAGGAGAGTATAAATTTTGTTTAATGCACCTCCAAAATTTTGATCGTATTTTAATAGTGCTTTTAAATTTATTTAGTTGTTCAAATCGAATACAAATTTTTGAGATTTTTCTTAGTACCATTTTCGTAAAATTTATTTCGTCTGATAAAAGCCAATATTTGTTTTTAATATATTTTTCTTAGTATAGTAAGAATTTGTACCTGGAGTTTCTAGAAATAGCGAGAAGTTAAATTTTACTAACTAAATTTTTTGATAACATTGCAAATCTTTCGATCTTTTTTTTCTAAACTGCTTCCTTCAATTTTTCCTCCGTCATAGACCAAAAAGACGAAATAAAGAATCGTTTCAATATGCTAAAGAGGTTTAGAGGCAAGTGTACCGACTAAAAGAAAAAAAGAAAGAAGTATTCCGAAGAAGCGATTTTCTGATTGAGATGGAATTCTTTATCTTCTGAGCGCTTTGAAAACATGCTGGTTAAGATAGTCTTCCTATTATTGTTCTGCAATATTCAAAAAAATTGTTGCAATTTGATGGAGTGTTCCGGATGAAACTGCAACAAAACTGAAACACTTCAACTTTTCGGGACATGCTATTTTCTCATCGAGCTTGAATATCTCAGCTCTTGGGTGTTTTTCAACCAAAACCTTTTGCCTCTTATATCTTTACAATGTAAAAAAAAGAATCCTTAAAAAAAATATAATGAATTGTTTCGGAGAAAAATTTCACCAAAAATACAAACAATTCAACTTTTCAGTAGATGCTACATTCTGATCGAGCTTGAATATCCCAGCTCCTGGGTGTTTTTTAAAGCCAATATCTCAGTACGATCTTTTCCCTGTTACGAGCTTACAAAGGTAAAAAAAAATTTCAATGTGATGAAGTGTTTCTGAGAAAAATGCGCCGAAAGGTGAAATAATTCACCTTTTCATCATATGCTTTTCTGATCGAGCTTGAAATCTCAAGGTTGTTTTTTTAAAACGAGTTTCTGTTTACAAGTTTTTGACTTTTGTGTCTTTACAATACAAAAAAAGAGAGATGGTTTCAAGAAGAAGTGGTGAATAATCCACAGAACTGTTAAACAATACAACATTTCAAGAGATGCTACATTCGTATCGAACTCAAATTTCTTAGCTCCTGTGTATTTTTTAAATGCTTGACCGTTTCACTTGTTTGTGTATCATGGTTTTCCAAAACAGAAATTGTTACAATATGTTGAAGATTTTAGGACAAAACATTACGGAAATGTGAAATAATACATTAAATACAGGAGTTGCTATTTTCTGAACGAGCTCGACTTCATTGGCTCCTGCGTAAGTTTTTTACTGAAATTGCTCGCTACGATTTTTTGCCAATTATTAATAATAATAATAATAATAATAAATGCATTATTAATATTCACAATACAAAACATCTTTCTATTGATTACAAATACAAACTATATGAACTGTCTGTCTGTAGGAGTGCATAATAAATTATGTATAAAGAACAAAATTAATAAAAGAAGAGAAATAGAAAGTAAAAAAAAAATATTTAAATAGGTAATAAAATAAATAAACAAGAGATTGTTTCAATATGACGAAAATACAATTTTTCGAAAGAAACGATTTTCTTATCGAGCTCGAATTTTCCACGTTGTCGTCGAATTTACGTTATAAAAACGTTCCATTCTAATTTTTCTAGCAGTCTGAAGTCGCTAGGTGGTTTAGTTAAGAAGGTAGTTTTTAGCGCAAAATAGAAAAAAACAAAAAACCCAGACGATGTAAGGCAAGTTGCAAGTTCATCAAGGTAACACATCACACTTGATTCACAACTTTTAAAAATATTTTGTTGCACTTTTACACCTCAAAATGTAGTATTTTTACTATTTTATTCACACCGCGGTTGCCAAATGGTTAGCGAGTTAGATTCGTAGACCCGCGGTCGTGGGTTCGATTCCCACCGTCCCCTCTGGCAATTTTTTTCACGATACCCCTTCCCAGCCAATACGCGTATGCATAATATATGGTCTGGCTTGGCTAATATGCAATGTACATGAGTACATTAGAAAAACCGTAGCAACTACCGACACCCTTTTTGTGTAAATCTTATACGACCAGTTTTTCCGTTCAAAAAAGGTTGTAGTTTAATTTTGTAAATTATGGGAAAATGATTTTTTTTAATCTGAAAAACGTCTCTTAGGCTTAAAAGGCAACATTAAATATACAAATTTATATCAACTCGGCATATTATATATACTGCGTGCGTGTGTGTGGAAATATATTTTAAATCAAATCAAACTCGCTGTACAATGGTGTTTTGTCTGATAATTATTCAGCAGAAAGTTGAAGTTGTTCAAAACTGAATGATCCAAACTGCCTTGGTATTTACAATGATAATGTTGTAGAACTTGAAAAAAAGTTTCTCACACAAAAGTTAGACAAGTCTTTAGCTTTGAACAGGGCAGTGGCATTTCAAAACAAACTAATAAGATCGTGGTACTGAAATTAAAACCTGAACATACGAGTGAACAAATTATTTAAACACTACATGAAGTATGAAAAATACGTTTCTTTTCATCATTCTGCCTTGCATACTATATAATTGCGAGCTAAATATTTTCATAAGATCACTATGACAATTAAAATAAATTACCAATGTAACTTTCATATTTTAATGTGTTTTAAGTGTTGGAAATAGAAAGTTATTTTTTCAAAAATCAAAGAAATGTTCAGTATAATTTAAAGTAAACAATCCTAAAGTTTGAGAAATAAATATAAAACTAATTTTGGTAGTTTCCATCATTAACAATATGTCACAATCACACTATTGTTTATTCCTGCAACTATCATAACAATCTAAACTGGCATCAACACATTATAAAATTACATTAAAAAAAGTTTTTCTTTGTATAATAATTGACATAAATAACAAAACAATTTTGATTTTTAATGAGTTGTTCTTAATAAATTCATCAAACTATTTAGTTGAGAGAGATTGATATTTCCACGTAATTGGTCTGTTGAATTTGCGCGATTTTATTCATGAATACCTATTTACGAATGAAAATAACCCATCGTTCTCACAAACAAGACAATTTTATGGCTATTGACAAGGAAGAGAGAAAAATGCGGTCAAAGTATATACAGCATTCAACAGAAAGTTTCTTAGTTCTTCTTAGCATCTATGAGCCACTTGCAATTTCAGATGACCTGAAAACAAATTTTCAATTATGGCCATTATGGCCCTGAGAAACTGCTTTGCAAGTAACAGTTGAAAATTTGTTAATTACTTATATATTTAGACCGTCTTTTATACATCTATCGTTTAAAAAAAAACTGCAAAAGCAACTAAAACGACAAAACAAATTTGATTTATTTATACGTTCATTTGCATTCCGGTGGTACCACAAAATTACAAAATTTGACTAAGCAATTATTAGCAGCGCTAATTCAAAACTGACAGAAAATAAAATAATCTGAA